TACTACTATTATTACTACTACTACTACTACTACTACTACTACTACTACTACTACTACTACTACTACTACTACTACTACTACTACTTCTACTATGTACTACTATGTACGACTATTTCTACTACTACTACTACTACTACTACTACTACTACTACTACTACTACTACTACTACTACTACTACTACTACTACTACTACTACTACTACTACTACTACTACTACTACTACTACTACTACTACTACTACTACTACTACTACTACTACTACTACTACTACTACTACTACTACTACTACTACTACTACTACTACTACTACTACTACTACTACTACTACTACTACTACTACTACTACTACTACTACTACTACTACTACTACTACTACTACTACTACTACTACTACTACTACTACTTCTACTACTACTACTACTACTACTACTACTACTACTACTACTACTTCTACTACAACTACTACTACTACTACTACTACTACTACTACTACTACTACTACTACTACTACTTCTTCTACTACTACTACTACTACTACAACTACTACTACTACTACTACTACTACTGCTACTACTACTACTACTACTACTACTACTACTACTACTACTACTACTACTACTACTACTACTACCACTACTACCACTACTACTACCTACGACTACTCCAACAAATACTACTCATAGTACTTCTACGACTACTACAATTTCTCGTACTACGAGGGCAACTACACTACGACGACTACGGCCACTACTAGCGCGACTGTTTCTACCAGGGGTACCACCACTGCTACGACGTCAACGCCGGCCACAACTAGTAAAACTACCTCCACCGCTGCTACTACGACGCCTACGGCTACTGCGACTGCTACGACCAACGCTACAACTGCGAACGCGAATGCCAGTAGAGTACGGCTAGGACAGCGACTGTGGTTCCGACTACTGATACGACCAATGATATGATAATGCATAAAGTTGCGCGCTACTCTTCCGTTTTATCCTCCCCCCCGGCCGCCCTCCCATTCGAGCCTCCACCTCGTCGAGTGATTCCATTATCGCCCTCGCTCCCGTTCGTCCTCGCCCTCCCCCTCTTCCTCCTCGCCCTCCTCCTCCCCATCGTCTTCGTGTTCATTTTCGCCCACCGTTCGCCTGAACAACCACTCCTCCTCCCCTGTTATCATCCATCCTCCTGGTCACGGTCAGCACCATCCGATTGCCATCGCGACCAACGTACATATACACACATACGTCGTGCAATATATGGGGTGACATCTATGTGGTGTAATTAATCAATGCCCAACTTGACGTTGTCCACTCCACTGCTCGCGCAAACATCCCACCCACCCACCCGCAGCTTGGTCTGCAAACCCCAAGCGGCGGCGATTGCGATGAGCGCTTGGCGCTGGCTGGTGCATCTGTGCGGCCGCGACAGCTCGCGAATGCAAGTGCGCGCGCATGCACCTTGGCGCGACCGACACAACCGCATCGGCGATGATCGTAAGGCACATCACAACGGGCACCTCAGTGCGAGTCGGCGACTTGGGCGGGCGCGGTATCACGGCAGCGTTGTCAACAGTAGACACGGTGATGATAGTAACGATGCTGGTGGCGATGCGGACAGCCACGACCACGGCCAGTGACGGCGCGGATGCTGATCACGCCGACGACGATGACGGCACCCTCGCGTCGGCGATGCAGGTTTTGGAAAGAGTTCGACATGCGCGCGCGGCCGACGCGCGAGTGCGGCCCGCATGGTTTGATTCGACGCGGATCGCGCCCCCCAGCACGCGCGACGCGCGAATGATGTCGGCATGCGGAGCGAGAGGCCCGTTTGGTAGAATTCGATTTAAAGTTTGAAGATCCGATGGTTTCCTACAGAATTCGCAAGAGCGCGCGCGCATGCTTTGAGGATGCGAAGCCATGTGTTTTCTATGTGTGGTTTTGACCTTCGTTTTTGAGATCGCTACGAAACCGCAGTTTTGAAAGGATTCGGGCATGCGCGCGCGACGACGCGCGCGCGCGTGCACTTCGTCTGTTCTTTCGCAGGATATTCTCGCGACTGCACGCGCGCAAAGGCGGTCGAACGATGTCGACATGCGCGCGTGAAGCCGGTGTGGTAGCATGTTCTGAAAATCTTGAGAAAAAACCGATGGCTTCATTCAAAATTCGCACGATTTGTTTGAAAGTCCTGATTGCGAAACCCTGTGTTTGTTGTGTTTATTTGACACTAGATTTTGAAATCCTTCCGAATCTCAAGTTTTCTGAAGGATTGCGGCTGCGCGCGCGACGACGCGCGCGTGCGCACTTCGTCCCATGTTTTGCAAAGGATTCTTGGAAACCTATGACTTTTGATAAACGAGTGTGCGTGCATAGTTTGTTTTTTGCCATGGAACCGAAGGGGGCCGATACAGGTTTGACTGGGACAACATGCGTTCAAAGGTAGGGTGGACATTGGGTCAGAATCATACGTGTTTTGCATAGTTTCCCGGGAAATGGAGAAGTCCGGGGAGGGGGGGGAATGTGGTAGAACCTCTCTTTTTTAGCAAGGAGAACCGATGTGGCGCAATAGTGCTTATGGCGTATAGCGTCCGCAATGCAAGTGGTGAAACATGCGTGACGGCGACGGGGCGGTGACTTCGACAACATAGCCGCGAGACCGCCACACAAGGCTTGACGACGGGCGGCGACGAGGCGGCGACGAGGCGGCAACGTAGCCGCCAGATCGCCACGCAAGCCCAGACGACGGGCGGCGACGAGGCGCCGACGGGGCGGCGACGGCGACAACATAGCCGCGAGACCGCCAAACAGGCCCCGACGACGGGCGGCGACGAGGCGGCGACGGGGCGGCGACGGAGACAGCATAGCCGCCAAGCCGCCACGCAGGCCCAGTTTCTTCGAACAGGAGTAGGAAGCCCTACATGCAGGCACTGCTTGAGGAACATCATCGCCACCATCTTCACCACCGCCACCGCCACAACCACAATCATCACAACCATGGTTGCACATCATCATCATCATCATCATCATCATCATCATCATCATCATCATCATCATCATCATCATCAGCATCAGCATCAGCATCAGCATCATCAGCATCATCAGCATCATCATCATCATCATCACCATCACCATCACCATCATCATCATCATCATCATCATCATCATCATCATCATCGACATCGACATCATCATCATCATCATCATCATCATCATCATCATCATCATCATCATCATCAGCATCAGCATCATCATCAACATCATCATCATCATCATCAGCATCATCATCATCATCATCAGCAGCATCATCATCATCAGCAGCAGCAGCATCATCAGCAGCAGCATCATCATCATCATCATCATCATCATCATCATCATCATGATCAACATTATCATCATCAGCATCATCAGCATCATCAGCATCAGAATCCCCATCTTCATCAGCAGTAGCATCAGCATCAGCATCAGCATCAGCATAAGCGTCGGCATCAAGATCAACATCAACATCAGCATCAGCATCAACGGCGTCGATGTCATCATCATAAGCAGCATCATCATCGGCAGCATCAGCATCACCCTCATCATTATCAGCAGCATCATCAGCATCACCATCGTCGTCGTCATCATCATCCTAAGCATCCTCCTCATCAGCATCATGATCATCATGATCATCATGATCATCATCATCATCAGCATCAGCATCAGCATCATCATCATCAGTGTCATCAGCCTCAGCCTCAGCCTCAGCCTCAGCCTCAGCCTCATCATCATCATCATCATCATCATCATCATCATCATCATCATCATCATCATCATCATCATCATCATCATCATCGTCAGCATACATTCAACATATTCTCGTATTGTTCCTCCTCCTCCTCCTGGCAGTCCCCTTCTCCCCCTCCACCTACTTCCTCCACCATCCCCCAAAACCTCCCCTTCCCTCCTCCCTCCTGCTCATCCTCGTGCGCCTTCCTCTCCCCATGCCTCTCCTGCTCCTCCTCCCTACTCCTCCCTCCTCCTCCCTCCTCCTCCTGCTCCTCCTCCCTCCTCCCTCCTCCTCATCCTCCTCCTCCTCCTCCTCCGCCTCCTCGAGCCTCTTGCTCGTGCTGCCCGGGCGAGCCGCTCCCGAAGCGCTCCCTGACGCTGGCGTCTCGGCACCGCCAGCGCAACTCGCAGACCTGCTCTGGGGGGAGGGAAGAGCGGCCGACCGGCAAAGGGTCGACGCTGTCGTCGTCGCCGTCGACGTCGTCGCTGCTGACGTCGCCGTGCCCGCAGTCTGCGTCGACGGCGTCGGCGTCGTCAACGTCGCTGCCGTCGACGCCGGAATCGTCGTCGAGGCCGCCGTCGCCGTGGAGTGGTCGGCGTCGTCGTCCACGCCGTCGGCGTCGTCGGCGCAATCGTCGTCGACGCCGTAATGCGTCGTCGGCGTCGTCGGCGTGGTCGTCGTGGCCGTCATCACGGTCGTGGTAACATCTGTGGTGGGGGTTTTCCTCGTCGTCGTCGGCGTCGTCGTCCACGTGTACGTCATTGTCGTCATCGTCGTCGCGATCCTCCCTCTCTCCCCTCCAGGAAGCGAGGAGGAGGCAAGTCCAAGATTGGGCAAGGGGCTGGCTCCCTGAAGGGGCCAGAAGGCAAGAGTGTGATGGGCAGGGGCCTCCCACCGCCCCTCGAACATCGTAATACCGAACTCTGACGCAGGCGCTTGGGCAACTCGTGTGAGCGCGTGTCGGGTGGGATTACCATGAACCGTTACTCCGAGGGCCTGCAGGCACACCAGGAAAACAAACAATGACGTGGAAGCTGCACAAGATTCAGGCTGGTGGCTCTGCAAATCCTAATCAAATTCACACTCCTCGTTGCCCTCAGGCTGTTCCCCCTGCTCCTCCTCCTCCTCCTCCTCCTCTTCATCCTTCTCCACATTCTCCTCCACCTCATCCTCCACTCCTCTTTCTGGAAATTATATATCGCCTCTGCCTGCTGATGCACATAGTCATCACATTCGCCGTCCTCATCCTAACAATCATTGGCACCATCACGGTCAGCAGCATCAGCATCACCATCAACATCATCATGATCATAATCGTCGTCAACATCGCCATCGTCATCGTCATCGTCATCAGCCGAATTATCATCATCATCAGCATCATCATCATCATCATCATCATCATCATCATCATCATCATCATCAGCAGCAGCAGCATCATGATCCTCATCATCGATATCAGCATCATCATCCTCATCATCAGCAGCAGCATCATCACCATCATCAACATCATCATCAGCAGCATCATCGTCGGAATCAGCATCATCAGCAGCAACAGCAGCATCATCATCTTCATCATCAGCATCATCATAGGAATCATCTGCAGCAGCATCATCATCAGCATCATCATCATAATCCTCAGTATCATCATCACCATCACCATACCCTCACCATTACCACCACCACCGCCAGCATCATCATGGTAACCATCATCACCATCATCATCACAATCAGCATCGGCATCATCACCGTCGTCATCACCACCAGCATCATCATCGGTATCATCACCGTCATCATCAGCATCAGCAGCATCATCTTCCTCATCCTCATCCTCATCATCGTCGTCCTCATCATCATCAGCATCAGCATCAGCGTCATGATCGCCATCATCAGCATCATCAGCAACGACAGCATCATTAACATCATAATTATCAACACCGTCATCATCATCATCATCATCATCATCATCAGCATCATCAACATCAGCATCATCATGTTCATCATCAGCACCAACAGAAGCATCGGCATCATAATCATCACCATCATCATCAACCGTCTCATCAACATTGTCATCCTCATCGACAGAATCATCGTCATCATCATCGTCACCATCATCATAAACAGCATCCGTATCAGTCTAAAACATGTTTGGTGCCGTCGTCATCACCAGCAGCACCATAATCACAATCACCACCCCACTCATCATCCTCCTCATCATCATCGCAATCACCATCACCATCACCATCATCCTCATCCGCATCCTCGTCATCCTCGATGTCCTCATCAACAGCACCACCATCCTCATCATCACCATCACCATGACAAACACCACCACCATCATCATCAGCATCATAACCATTGACAACAGTGTAGTCGCCTCCATCAGCAGCTGCATCATCACCACCACCACCACCATCATCATCATCATCATCATCATCATCGTCGTCGTCTTCGTCGTCGTCGACGTCATCATCATCATCATCATCATCATCATCATCATCATCATCATCATCACCATCACCATCGCCATCACAATCACCATCACCATCATCATCACCATCATCACCATATTCACCATCACCACCATCAGAATCACCAGCATCATGATTATCAACATCATCATCAACAACATCATCGTCATCATCATCATGATCACAATCATCGAAAACACCATCAGTAGACATTTGTTGGCTCAAGGTCGATGAGGGTTCCAGAGACCGCGAGCCCCTTGGGCGTTTCGATCGGTGGGACCGCTTTGACGCCGAGGGCCAGCGACTCAATGCATTCAATTATCTTGTCTCGACTTCACTCCACATCCTCCATATGTTGCCGCGCAGGGCGGCCATGGCACCAGTTCTTTCGAGTCTGGGCATTGGCGGCAGCACTGGCGGTGGCTGCGGAGGTGGAGGCCATCAGCGTGGCGGAGCTCGGAGTCCTTGGCGGCGTCAGCCGTGGGTTCAGCCTGCCCCGTGGTGCCTCGACGGACACAGCAGCGGCGGCGGTTGGACGCAGATCACCAGGCCCAGGAGCTAGGGTCAAAGATAGGGCAACGAAACATGACATCAGCATAAAATTCGGAGGTCCGCGCAGATCTGCGGATCCGAGAAATCCGCGCGGACCTCCGACCGAGTGTTTATGTTTCTGTCATTGCTCGTTCCCCTGAAAGGAGTTGTGGATGCCAGGGGGATGGACACTCTAACAGCCCTACCACTGGATTTCAAACCTGCACTCAATGTTCCAAGACTGCAGACTTCATACCTGCTTCGAGCATGCGCTTGGCACGCTTTAAGCAGGCATCTGAGGCATCTGGAACGCTTGTTGACAGCATGCCTCCTCTCCACACAGCTGGGGCGCCCCCTCCGCCGCGGGAGTCGGCCCGGGCCTGGGCGGCCCTCCGTGCCTGCGCCCGGCGCGACGCGCCGCGGGCGACGGCCCGGGCCTCGGCTGCCCCGCAGACGGACCTCGCCGGCAGGGCGCCCCACCACCGCGCCTCCCGAGCGTCGCCCACAGCACGAGCGGGCGGCGCCGGTCCGCGCTGGCCGCGTGCCCACGGCCGCGCGGGCCGCGGCGGCCTCGCCTCCGCGCAGCTCCCATACCCAAGATGCTTCGGGGGGTCCCAGGGAACCCCTCAGATCTAGCCGCTACCGCCCCCAGGACCCTCCCCTCGGAACCCTCCCCGGACCCCGCCCCGGGACCGCTCCAGGCACCCCCCCAGAGGAGAAGAGAGAGGGCCGGAAGAATCGAGGAGGGAGGAGGCCACAAAGCCGCGAAGATCACCGAATCCGGAGCCCCCCGGATCGGCGGCACTGGCCGGAGGCCATTACAATATCATTAAGGATGATGAAGCCCCATTGGGGGGCTGTTACGCCCGATCAGGCCACGGATTAAGAGGGCCTAAACCGAATTACATGAGATTAAGCCGGATTAGGCGGGACGAAGCCGGATTAAGCGGGATTTCGGACCAGGGCAAAGTCAGAACGTGACCGCCCAGGAGTTGCATCCGAATGCTCGTCGTGCCGACGGGCGGGCGAAGCACGAGTAAAGGCGGCAACCAGCGGCGCCGAGGGGCGCAGGCCCCTCTCGCCCAGCGCCCCCCGTCGGGGCCAGCGGGGGGCGTCGGAGCAGCCTGCGGGCGCCATCTCCGCCGTCCCCACGGCCCAGGCGGGTCCGGCCGTCGACCTCGGGGCGGAGCTGGGAGGCCGCGAGGAGCCCGGCCGCCGTGAAGCAGCTCGTCTGCTCGTGGAGCTAGTCTGAAGTCGGGCGTGTCCCCCTACAGGGGGATCTTCGACGAAAAATCAAAAAAATACTCAAAAAAAATACTCCGATTGATCCCCCCAAAAAGTACTCCAAAAACAGCCCCCCGACTATGTCTTGACTATCTTTGGATATTCCCCCTGTGGAGGGACAGGCCCGACTTAGAGCCAGTCGCGCAGGGACGCTTCAGGATGCCCCTCGCGGTCGCGGAGGCGGTGCCGACGGAGGCCGCGCGGAGCCTCGGCTCCGCGAAGCAGCTCGCCATGGGGTCGGCGGAGCCGGGCGCGCTGCCGGTCCTCGGGGCGCCCTTCGGGGTCACGAGGGCCGCGCGCCCGGGCGTCGCGCGGGGCCTGGCCCGCGCGGCGCACCTCGTGGTCTGGCTCGCGGAGCTGGTCGTGCAGCTGGTGGTGCAGCCACCCTCCATGGGCACGGATAGGGGGCCTGCATTCCGAGCCCTACCCCTACCCCCCACGGTTTCACGGTTTCTGAGGGGGAGGGTGGGGTTCACTTCGCTCGGGAGCTCCCGAACGAGGTGAACCCCACCCTCCCCCTCGGAAATCGTGGGGGGTAGGGGTAGGGTTCGCATGTGGCTCCCTAACGGAGGCGGCGATGCTGGAGGCCGCGCGCGACACTCACCCTGGCGAAGCAGCTCGTCATCCAGCTCGTGGAGCCGGTCGGGCAGCTGCTCCTCAGGACGCCCCTCTCGGTCACGGAGGCGGCGCTGAGGGAGGACGCGCGGAGCCTCACCCTTGCGAAGCAGCTCGTCATCTGGCTCGCCGAGCCGGTCGGGCAGCTGCTTCTCAAGACGCCCTTCCTTGTCAAGGAGGCGGTGAAGCTGGAGCCCACGAGGGGCCACACCGTGACGAGAAAGCTCGGCACCTGGCTCGCGGAGCTGGTCGAGCAGCTGCCTCCTCTTCTTTGGCCACGGGCGCGGCACTGGGCGTGGGCGATCGGCACGTACCTCGACGTCGCGCAGCGCGCCGAACTTGACGTGCAGATCGAGACCGACGGGAAGCCCAGAGCTCCCTCGACAGCAGGGACCCTGGCGGGTATGCGCGAGGCACGGCTCCGCACCGACCTCGCGGCGCCGATGCCGGGCCGGCTCGGCCAGCTCAAAGCGCCATCGACCGCGGCGCTCATCCTCGGCGCGCTGGTCCAGGTCGTCCAGACCATCCGCGGCGCGCACGGCGCGCGGAGGAGGAGGAGGAGGAGGAGGAGGAGGAGGAGGAGGAGGAGGAGGAGGAGGAGGAGGAGGAGGAGGAGGCCAGGCCGCAGTGCCCGCGGCCCGGAAGCGGGCGGCCCGGCGGCTCGACGCGACCGACAGCAGTGGCGCGGCGCTCACCGAGCTGGGCCGTCCGAGCCGGCTCCACGCCCTGCGCGCGGTCGGCGCGGCGGGGCGGCGCCTGGGCTAGGCTCGGGTTCCGCGGAGCCGTCGCCACTGCGGCTCACAGCTCTCTGGCGGCGTCGGCTTGGGCCTCGCGCAGGTCCTCGCGCGCCGCGTTCGTGTGGCCGCTGGTCGGCCTGGGGCCCGTGGGCCGTTGCGTGTGAACGACCCTCCCTGGGGCGTCCTCCCTCGTCGGCTGGTTTCCGATCGGAATTTTGAGCGGCGCCGGCCTGGGCCCGTGTGGGCCCTGAGGCGCTGCCCTGGGCCCTGTGGGAGCCATCGGGCCCCCTGCCGTCTTGGCCGTGGATGAATTAAGAACCAGAACGGTACGTGAACCCTGCTCAAGACCCAAGTCAATCTGAAGCCGATCATCATCATCGTCATCATCATCATTATCATCATCATCATCATCATCATCATCATCATCATCATCATCATCATCATCATCATCATCATCATCATCATTCATCATCATCATCATCATCATCATCATCATCATCATCATCATCATCATCATCATCATCATCATCAGCATGGGCATCAGCATCAGCATCAGCATCATCATCAGCATCATCATCAGCATCATCATCGTCATCGTCATCGTCATCGTCATCAGCATCAGCATCAGCATCAGCATCAGCATCATCCTCATCATCATCAGCATCATCATCGTCATCATCATCATCATCATCAACATCATCATTATAATCACCATCCGCATCATCAACATGAGTATCATCATCATCATCATCAACATCATCATCATATTCTTCTTTTCCTTCATTATCGTCAGCATCATCATCACCATCGTCATCAATATCGCCATCGTCAGCAGCACCAATATGATCAGCATCATCAGCATCATATATCATAATCGTCACCATCATCATCAGCATCAGCATCATCATCAGCATTATAATTATGATCGTCATCATCATTATCATCATCATCATCATCATCATCATCAGCAGCACCAGTATCATCATAATCAGAATCATCATCATCACCATCAGGCTCATCATCATCATCATCATCATCATCATCATCATCATCATCATCATCATCATCATCATTACCATCGTCAGCATCATCGGCATCGTCATCATCATCGTCATCACCACACTCAGCAGCATCATCATCACAGTCGTCATCAGCAGCATCATATCAGCATCTCCGTCGTCATCAACAACAACATCATCATCACCAACACCATCATCACCATCATCACCAGCACCACCACCACCATCATCATCATAATCATGATCAGCGGCATCGGCATCGTCATCACCATCATCATCATCAGCATCATCATCGTCATTACCATCAACATCACCAACATCATCAGAATCGCCGTCATCGTCATCATCAGCATCAGCATCATCATCCTCATCATCCTCATCATCACCAACCATTAGGATCACTGTAATCGTCATCAACATTGTCACCGTCACCAGCAGCAGCAGCAACCGCATCAGTATTAGCATCATCATCATCAGCATCATCAACATTATCATCATCAAGATCATCATCGACATCCTCATCCTCTTCTGCATCATCATAATGATCAGTATCATCTTCAGAAGCAGCAGCATTACAATCAACAGAAGCACCAGCATCAGCATCCACAGAATCATCACTAGCACCATCCTCACACTCAGCAACAGTATCGGAAGCAGTACCAGCGTCATCAACATCATCAGCAGCATCATCATAATCATAATCGGCATCAGCATCATCATGACCATCCGCATCGCCAACGTAGTCATCACCGTATGTGTCAGGATCAGCATCGTCATCAAAACAATCATCATCATCGTCGGCGATGCCATCGTCATCATGATTAACATCTGCATCGTCAGTAACACCATCACCCTCCTCCTCATAATGATCTTGAGCAGCATCAGCATCAGCGTCATCGTTATCATCGGCAACATCAACATCACCAACATCATAATCAGCATCGTCATCATCATCCTCGAAGCGTCACCCTCGTCGTCGCCGTCGTCGTCATCAGCATCAGCATCATCACCATCATCACCATCATCATCATCATCACAACCGTCACCATCATCAGAAGCAGCAGCAGCGTCGCCACCGTCATCGTTACCATCATCATCGCCAGAATCACCGCCATCACCATCACCATCACTGTCATCATCATCATCATCAGCAGCAGCAGCAGCATCACCATCACCAGGCATCATCATCACCATCATCATCATCATCAGCATCATCATCATCAGCCTCATCATCGTCATCACCATTGGCTTCGTCGTCCAATGGTTAATCCCTGGTAGAGATTGATCTCGCCAAACCCCCGCCTGAGACATGCAAGTGTTCGTCGAGTTCCGGCTCGCCCCGGCAAAGGCAACCGTTCTGATTGGCGACGTGCTCCCTGGCGCTACCACACCATAAGAATTACGAGGCAAAACTCCCCCCGTGGACGCGGTAGACGAAGCCTACCGAGTGCGATCCCCCGTGGAACATCCCCGACGTGACCCAGGGGAAAGCAGAAGGAGGCAGATTGGCCTGGATAGGGATGACACGTCAGGGGCTAGGCCCAAAGCTGGCGGTGAAAGACCAAAAGAAGAGCGAAGTGAAGGCGGGCTGGGTGGGAGCCAGTGTGAGGGTGGTCACCGCGCAACCCCCTCGACGGAGGATGGAAATAGATGATATGCTCCACGTGGTCGCCGACGGCGTCGTCGAAGTCGCCGCCGTCATCGTGATCGGCGCGACCTGTCGTTTGCGTTCGTAGCCCTCTCGCCAGAGGGCTGCCTTGCGACGATGGAGCTCCTCCATACGGGGGGTACGGATTAGGATCCATAAAGGAAGGGGAGAAGAGGGGAGGAAAGAAGAGAAGAGGAGAGGATAAGAAAGAGAGAGAGGGAGAAGACCGTGAGATGGAGACAGAGAGAGAGAGAAAGAACAAAAAAAAGAGGGGGAGAGAGAGGGAGGGAGAAAAGGAAAGACAGACACAGAGAGAGTGAGAAAGAGAGAGAAACAGACAGACAGACAGACAGACAGACAGACAGGCAGGCAGGCAGGCAGGCAGGCAGGTAGGAAGACAGGCAGGCAGGCAGACAGACACGAAGAAAGAGAGAGAGAGAGCAAAGTGAGAGCGAGGCGCACGAGAGGGTCTGAGGGGAGGATGCGCCATCGTGACTCGTGCCCTGCGGCACGAGTTGGAGCGTCCGCAGGTCCTTTGCCTAACCTCCGAAGCCTCGACCCTCAATCATGAGCATTATTTGAGGGGCACGAGCCCCGAATTTTCCCAGCTCCTCTTGGGCTGCCCGGCGTGCCTCCTGGGGCTCGTCGCGTCTTGCTCATGACTTCTTGGGGCCCACAAGGGCCCCAAAACGGGCCAAGAGGGCACCGGATGGCTGAACGATCGGTACAGGGCGCCCAAGATAGCCTCCAATCGGCTGAAAAGCACCCAAGACGTCCCAAGAGGCCGCATCTCTGACTTGGCGACGCCCTCCAAGGCCCCCGCGCCAGGTCGCTCGATGGCATCGCTCCCCCCCCACCCCGGCGCAGTTGAGCAGCGGCATCACCGCGTCCTCTGCGCACTAAATATGCGCCCAAATCGCCTCTATCACGAAGATCCTGGCCTCGCGGTTGTCTCTCAGCCCGCTCGTCTGACAGGCAGCCGTTCACATTGCGAACTGGTCATCCATCGCGATAAGGGCGCCCCTGAGTTTCTTGCGCTTGAGCTGCGAGAACTGCGCCAGCATCCTGGCGAGGCCCGTCAGCGCACACAAGATCATACCAGCGTGGTCGGTCCATCTCTGAATGGTGCATGTCCCCCCATGTACTTGCTTTCGCGCAGATCGGCGGCGGTGGCGGGCGGCCCAGCAACCTGCGCCCCCCCCCCCCCCGCGACTCCCCGTCGATACCGCGCTCGCTCATTTGTCGGTGCTGTTGAGCTGCTCCTCAGAAGGCTCCTGGTCCTGCAAATCTGGGCTGCGGTGGCACGGGCACTGCATTGCCTGCTCCATCTCGGTGGCGCCCTTGCGCGCCGTGCGCGCTGCGCTCCTCGTTTACCTGTCCCCCCGCCTTTGCCATCTCTAGCGCTTCTGGCCGCGCCGCCGCGGCATGGGTCGCGCGGCGCCATGTTTCCACGATGAACTTGAGCCTATAGCCTACGCACAATACTGCGCTGCGTCGGCGATTGCAAATCCAGGCCGTCCGACTATCCGTCGTATACGTCACGCATCAGCATGCGCACTTGTACAAGCACACCCTATTCTCCCGTTAATAGGGCCCACTGGGGCCTGCAAGCGCGCGCCCCGCCAGGCGAAACCTTCCCGCGCCGCGGCAAAATCATTTTGGAAGGGATCCCCACCCCGCGCCCGCTAGTGAGCAGTGTTGACTAAATCTGCGCTCGGCACGGTACTGTAACCTGTCGGTACAACTGTTTCCCTCTTCCACGGTGCCTCACCAGTTCTTCGAGCCCCATGAGCCTCTCGGGGTCCTGGCTGATTCCCCTGGCTGTGTGTTGCACTCTTGTAAGCCCATCCAGGCCGGGCTCGAGCTCCTGGCCGGCGCCCTGCGTGCCCGAAGAAGAAGAGGTGGCCGCCGTGCTCGCGAGGGCTCGTGATCGGCCGTCGCGTCCTCTGGTAACGGTACCTGCTCGGCAGCGCGCGGCAGCTGCCTCCTGGCGCGCGGCAGCTGCCTCTGCAACGCGCGCTCGAGCTCCGCATTCGGGCCGTAGCACGTTGCCCTCACTGCTCCGAGCCTGGTGAGGCAGAAGCCCACCGCCTGCCTGAAGTGCTGCGGGTTGAGCGCGTCCATCTTCTGGATTTCCATTGATTCGGCCTGCTTGCCCTCTAACACCAAGCGAAACTGGGGCGAGCGGTTGGAGTTCAGCGTGATCTTGCCTTTCCCTTGCGAATTGGCTGTTTCGTCCTCAATGCCATCCTTCCTGCCCTTGCTGTGCGTTTCGCCGGTCTTGCAGAGGAGGACAGTCTCCATCACGACCGACTGCCCGAACGGGCCGTTCGCGATCTGGTGCCACTCCCTGATGATGTCCAGCGCCTACTCGACGTTTTTCTCTGGCCCTTCCTGCGCCATGGTCTCCGCCAGCCCGTTGAACATGCTCTCGATTAGTGCCATCACTATGTGCGCGCGAGGGGGCCTTAGCTTGTCCCTTTCCTGCGCTGCGCACCTTCTGTCCGTACAACTTGCCTGCCTTGTGTGTTGCTAGGAAAGCGCGCGCGATCACTGAAATGAGCCAGAAGCCAGTGGTGGCGTGCAAGACTTCGTGCATTTCATGGGCTGCATTCAAGGTCGGCCTCCGCAAGCTCTGGAGCGCTGTCGGGTAGTCTTCGCCTCCCCCGCCTGCCTGCGGGTGTCGGCCTCCTCCTCCTCCTCCTGGCGGCTGGTCTCCAGACCCCGAAGCTTCCGCACCTTCCTTGGGCGGTTCCCTCCACGTATCCCTTGCCTACCTTCTTCGATCCTGAGCCGTCGCCTTCCTCGAGCCCTCCCTCGAGGCCCCCACGCTGGGGTTGACAACTCCATCATGCCGCAGGTCTCGGACCTGCCTGGGCCACCCGCGGCGGCCTGCGCACGTGCCTCTGCAAATCAACAGGGCTGTAGGAGGAGAGGCAAGGGCTCCCAGCTTCGCGCTCTAGCGCTGCGCGAAGCGCGAAGTGCGATGAACTTCGCGCTCTCGCGGCGCCGGGGAAGGAGCAGGATGAGGAATCGGAGCCGAAGCGCGGAGCGCGAATCACTTCGCGTCCTCGAGGGCGCCCCTGGGGAGCAGGAGCAGCAGCAGCAGGCCCAACGGGGAGGGCAGGAGCGCCAGCGAGGGGGGGCGGGGCAGAGGCGCGGGAGGGGGGAGGGGGGGCCGGGGGCCTGGACAGGGGCACCAAGACCAACACAGGGGGCGGCCTCCACAGGGGGAAGATGGTCCTGGACTTCGGCGTTGGTGGTGCGCGTCGGTTGGAAGCAGTAGGCAGAAGCATGAAGTGGGAAGGAGGATATAGTGGACTGGGTCCAGGTCCTCCCAGAGAGTAACAAGACAGGGCACAAGCATGCGATTTTTGAAGTAGGAAGGCGCTTGAAGTAGATTGGGATCTGGGAATCCACAAAGACCTACTTTCAACGACCGGCGAGTAATCTTTCAGCCGCCTTGGAAGCCAGAGTATGACCAGCATCACCGAGATCGGGGCCCTTTTCCTTCGGCGGAGGCACACCGCCGACGTTGGCGGTGGTGTCAACCTCTAGGCCTGCGAGGGGGGCTGCGGAGGCGCGCAGGGGGCGGGCAAAGACGGGGCCAGCATCAGGTCGGGCATGTCCCCCTACAGGCGGACTTCGGACGGAAAATAAACAATGGTCAGAACACATTTTCACGCAAATCATCACACAGGGGGGGGGGGGGGAGAGGGTGGGTCCGGTGGCGTGGGTTCTGGTGGCTCCCCAGCG